ACACAAAAAAAAATATCTCGCACCTCATCCATGGAATTCCACAAGCCGTCGATGTACAGTTGATACCGACCGCTTACATGCACATACGAGTGAGTGGAAGGAATTCAAAAAGATATGCTTCAAGCTGAATCAATGAAGCACGATAAGAAAAGAAAGATGGAAAGTTTATCCTAAATGTCTTGTAGCATCTCGAAGATAGATATGGATGCCATTATACCGAACCACAAGACTCTACTAGACACTTGCTCATGACTCGTAGAACCTATGAACCTAGAGCACGGATACTAACTTATCATGACTCAAAATCCAACTAGTCGTGATGGCACCTACCCCAACCCGCTAGGTAAGCCAAATAGCAACGATCCGATTCAAAAGAGATTTAACTGAGAAAATACATGATGAAAATAACTGAACTTTTATACCAAAAATTTCAAGGACTGGTAGTACAAATCATGAGTTTCTAAGATTTAGAGTTTACAAAGCTGATATAAAATAAATACATAATCTGTTTGAAATATACATGAATAGATTAAAAATTCTAAAGCTACTAAGAACAAGAGACAACTATGACCGGAACGCAGGTACATTTTCAAATCCTGCTCCCGCCATACACAGCAACATCAACATCCAACATCTGCACGCAAGGTGCAGAAGTGAAGTATGAGTACAACCGACCTCATGTACTCAATAAGTAACAAACCTAACCTTAGGTTGAAAGTAGTGACGAACTTGGACAAAGGATAGAGTCCAACACCAATAGCCAAGAATAATTCGTAACAATATAAGAAAAAATAGTACAAGCAATGACTCAAAAATATGTTGCTCAGCTCGTTCACAGTTACGAAAAAATAGTCATGCTTCTTAGGTATAACAGTAAAACCCAAATTTTTCACCGAAATGACCAAAGTATGAGTCAGTCAGAAAAACTATGATTTTTTCCAAAGCTTTTCAACAATAAATACGATGTTTCACTATCAGATAGCATAAGAAAAGTACTTCTCTATGCCTACATGTCAATGTGCACATGAAATCATGAATTTCACCAAAATCGGGTAGCATGAGGAAATGCATCTCTATGCATGTATGTCAAGTATGCATGTCAAATACAATGCATCACAGTGATGAACTCATGTACTCACACTCTCAAAGTACTCAATCTCACTGTCTCGTACTCCCACTCATCACTCTCAATCACTCAACACACTCAGTCACTCAGCACTATACAAGGCAGATCTAACCCAGGGCAGATCCAGACCAAACGTTAATAAATCATGTTGCGGTGCGCAAACTGATCCCATCGTGAATCAATAGCAATCGCGCTCATTGTGACTGTGCAGACTCCGGAGGGGCAAATCCAACCCAAGTGCTATAATAAGCCAATCATGGCATGAATCAATAAAGCCTACTGCGACGTGCAGCCCGATCCCATAAATATCACTCACAAATACGCCCTCGGCCTCACTCAGTCATCAATCTCTCCAGTCTCTCGTGCTCACAATGTCATGAAAATCAGCCCAAAATGATGATATGATGTATAAATAAATAGCAATAGAGACTGAGATATGATATGTAAATGAATGAGTATGACTGAGTATGTAACTGCAATTTAAGCAAATAACTCCACAGCTGATATGACCTCAGTGGATCACAGCTCAATTACTCCACAGCTGTGACCTCAATGTGTCCCAACAGAATAAACATATAGCCTAAACATGATTTCTAACATGGATCATAGCTCAATTACTCTAACACGTAGAAATCTCATTGATAAAAATAAGATTAGGTAACTACACAGTACCACAGAAACAACCGAGTTATAATTCACACGGTGTACGCCCACACGCCCGTCACCTTGCATGTGCATCACTTCAACACCTAACACATAACATATATATTCGGGGTTCATACCCTTAATACCATGTTCAAAAGTGTTACTTACCTCGAACAAACCAAATTCAATACTGAACAAGCCAAACGATGCTCCAAAAATATCATCTCGCGCGTACCAACCTCCGAACGGCTCAAAACTAGCCAAAAGTAACCCAAGAACATCAAATAATGCCAAAGGAAATAAACCCAATCGATAAAGGTTAAATCTTTAATCAAAAGCCCAAAGTCAACCAAAAGGTCAAACCTGGGCTCGTACCTCGGAACTCGACAAAACTTACAAAATCTGACAACCCATTCAATTATAAGTCTAACCATACTAGTTTCACTCAAATCCGACTCTGAATCGATGCTCAAATCTCAAAAATTCACTTTATAAAATTTTAGACAAAACCCCCAAATTTCTCTTCTGAAATCATCAACCAAATGCCAAAAACTAGGATAGATTCATGAAATATAATCAAAATCGAGTAGAGAGCACTTACCCCAATCCATATGGTGAAAATCCTCTCAAAAATCACTTAAATCCGAGTACCCTAGCTCCAAATATGTTGAAATAAGCTTATAAAAAATACTACCCAATAAAAACACTAATGTGGTCGCGAAAAGTTCAATACCCATCGCTACAAGTACCAAATCTGGTCGTTAAAGATGCGCACCAGAACTTGCTTGCACCAGCAATTTGTTTTTCACTAAAAAGACTCTAACTCCCTCGTACAAACTCGGAATTCGACGATTCTTGCTCCTATAAGTCGCAAATAATAATACTAACCTAATAGTTCAGTCAAAACTCAATTCTGAGCTAATTTGCTCAATGCGATACCAACTTCGCTCGTTAAATAAGTAACTCATGCTTCGCAGTAAAAACCCAAACGCGATTTAATAAAATTAGACCAAATATTCCAGATCATTCCTATAAATCATTATCAAACTCTTGGAAGTCTCGAAATCGAATTCCGATCTCTAGAACTAAAAATGGACTTTTAGATCATTATATGCTTATGCTCAAAACAATGCCAAAACACCAAACACGTTAAAACCACATCTGAAACTCACCCGAGTACCACGGGATGCGAACAAAATATACCAACAAGTCCTAAAATATGATACGAACTTGCTCGAGCAATCAAAATACAAAAATAATATCAAAACTATGAATCGCAACGAATTCAAGCTTTATAAAATCAAAACTTTTAATGTTTCAAAAACTAACAGAAATCGTACCTACGCAACTCAGAATAACTTTGAATTTTGTACATAAGTCATAAATATTGTTATAAAGCTGATCGAACTCTCAAAATCCAAATCGGGACCCGGTATCAACAAAAATCTAATTATGGCCAAATTTTGGAATTCAAAACTTTTCAAAGTTAACAATTTTCGGAAAATTACGCCAAATCACTTTGGGACCTCCAATTTAAAATATAGGCATACACTCGAGTCCAAAATTACCATATGAAGCTAACATAACCATCAAAAATCTATTCTGGGGTCAAATACTCAAAAGTCAAACTTGGTCAACTCTTCCAACTTAAAGCTTCCTGGTTGAGAATCATTCTTCCAAATAAATTCTGAATCACCTGAAAACCCAAAATCGACATTTCGCACAGGTCATAATACATCATACGAAACTACTCGGGACTTTAAATAACTGAACGGATTACAAATATTCAAAATAATCGATTGGGTCGTTACATATTTTCTTTATTTATGTTAGTCGGGCATTAGCCCAAGTGTTTAGTTCTATTCCTTGGTATAGAGGCTCCATAGATAGTCGTGATGAGTTGTAGTAATGGGATGGTAATTGATATATATATGAAAAGACATTTATTGTATTTGGTGTTGTTATTATTACGAAAGACTTTATGTATGATTTTGAATTGGAAAATTGTCCCATCATTTAATTTGAAAATAAATAAAATTTTCAAAGAGCTTTCGCAGTTAAATTAGATTTCATGCATATTATTTGGGTACATCATATTGGTTTGTTCGCTCGGGTCGGATAGTGTACCGGGTGTCGGTCACGTGGTTTTGGGTCGTGACAATGATTCTGTCACCAAAAGATACTAGTTAATGATGTAATCTTCTTGGCCTGATGTAGTTTTCGTTGTCTTAGTTTTAACAAGTTAGGTTTACTGTTTATTGTTAACTATCAGAATTGTGATAGTATACCATATTTTAATTGGCATATGTTACAAACTAACACCATACATATATAAATGACATCTACTTCATTGATTGTATATATTAGAATTGTTCTTGGGGTTTTAAAGCATCAAGGCTAAACAAGTAGCATGTTTTCAAAATTAGAAGCTTCAACAAACTTCACACATGCCCAGATGATGAAAAGTTTGATACATGGCTGGCTACTTCAACAGTTATGGCAAACTTAGTAAAATACAAGTATACTAACCCAACGTCAATATGCATTGCTGGAGACATACAACGTGACATGTTGAATGATTATGGTCATAATTAACTACAAGCAAGCGTGGAGAACAAAAGAAAAAAACTCTTGAACTGTTGAGAGGAAACCCAAGTAGTTCATATGGGAAGTTGCCGAAATAATCTTTATATATTTGAGGTAACAAATCCAGGATCTGTTACCAAGCTACACAAGTCGGAAGATGGATACTTCATATATCTATTTGTGGCACTTTATCCAACAATTAAAGGATAGCAATACTGTTGGCATATTCAAGTAGTTGATGGGACTTTCTTGAAAGCATCATACAGAGGAACCTTAATCACAGCTTGCACGCAAGATGCATCAGGTAAGTATAGATCATCAAAAAATTATATTGTTTATAAAGTTATTTTTTTTCTTAAATCGATATATTTTTATACAGGTAAAATTCTTCCTCTTGCTTATTCAGTGGTTGATTCAGAAAACGAAACGATGCATCCTGGGAATAGTTCTTTAGGCAATTCAGGAATACATATGGCCTTAGGGATGGCATGTTCGTAGTTTCAGATGGCATGAGAGTATCGCAAATGCAACTTCTACTATCTGTCTAGAGGTACCTCATTGTTTCTGTATTTTTCACCTCTGGAACAACATTAAGGCGAAGTTCAAGAAGAATCAAAACCAACTTGCGCAAAAAATCTTCAAAATGGCCAAAGCATACACAATTGACGAGTTCAATTATCAAATGGCAGAGATTGAAACAATTGATAAGAGAGTGCAGGAATATCTATTTGATGTTGGATACGATAAATGGCCAGGAGCACGTACAAAAGTTAACAGAACAACAACAATGATATCTAACATGGTTGAATCCATCAATTCAGCAATTAAGTCTACAAGAGATCTCCCAGTAACTCCATTGCTTGATTTCATGAGAAATTTGGTTAAGGAATGGAACTACAATAACAAAAAGCTCGCAAGAGAAACATTTATAAAGCTTGAACAAAAATATGAAGATATGTTGGAAGAAAATTTTATTTATGCACGAAAGATGATGGTATATTTTATGACCATACTTATTATATACATTTCAGTTTTTATGATATTACGTTACAATATTTTATGGTACAATTTTGATATAGCAGTAACAAATCTGTTTTAATTATGTAGGTAAAGCGATAAAATAATTTGTTGTATACAATATATGATGGAGGTAGCAGATATGTTGTCTGAATGGAAGAAAGAAAATGTAGTTACAGAAGATTTCAGTTGGATGAACTTCCATGTCCACATGCTTTGGCAATTATTAAGAAGTTCTATATGGATCTATATCAATACTTCTCAGTATACTACAAAAAGTATTACTTGATTAAGACTTATAAAGAATTAGTGTATCCCATACCTGATGAAACTACATGGGAGATCCCTACAGAAATATCAGAGTATGAGCTGCTACCACCCAAGGGAAAGATCAAACAGGGAAGGCCACAGAAATCGAGATACAAAAAGTCGCATGAAAAAAATTAAAGAGATCAAAAGTTACATGTGGAATATGTGGAGAAGAGGGTCACAATCGTAAAACGTGCATGAATCTTCCAAAGAGAACTTAACATACACTTAATGTCTTAGAAATTTGCATAGTATCAAATTGTTTCACTGGATTACTGTAATAGTGTTGCTTATATATAGTTTTCTGGAATAAAGTTCAAGAAATATAATGGTTTTATCTATCTAAGCTTCTTTTTTCATTTCAGTTTATTTTTAGGTTATTGAGATGAGGTGCTAACATATCCAACTGTTATTTCAAATAATCTTGGTATACTACAGTATATACCATCATTACTGTTATTCCACATACTATTGGTATGCCACTATTCTTGGTATACTGTATAGATTACCACAATTACTGGCATTATCAGGGGTCTTGGTATACTATGGACTATACCAGGTTTATTGGCATTGCCAGGGGTCTTGGTATACTATGGAGTATATCATTATTCCCAATCTTGGTATACTACAAATAAATCGGGGTAGATTTTGAGGATGGATATCGAGCTTTCAAACAACAATCAGCGGCATGTCCCAAGTATTGTTCTTACGTCCCATTGACACAGGGTGTGTAGGCAATCCGAACCCCCACAGTCAAAATAAAACACCTAGTATCATCACATCTTGACGCAGGGGCAACTTTCAAAATCAAAAATCAAAATCGTCCATCGCCTTCTCGAACTACAACTGGCCTGATTCTCGTTACATCCAAGATATGTAGGAAAATCCAACACCGAGCCCGGCCGCATCCATATTAAAATCCATTCAATCAATCAATATGTCCATCTAACACCACATCACAGTGTTACCACAGTCCGACACTGGGCCAATTTTGGAAGCAATGTTGAGATCACACGAACCTTTTCGTCCTCGAAGATTTATTTTCTACGCCATGAGGCTATGATTCATAAGTAGTACTCAATCTTCCAGACTTACATGCGACCTGATTCTCGTGCAATCCGAGATATGTAGGCAACTCAGAAACTAGAGTTCGATCACAATCTTCAAAACATCCTCCATTCCCTACTTTGTCATGTTGGGTCAAAATTGAATATGCTGTCAATTTCTTTGCCCGAATACTCTTACATCATCTCCAGTCAAAGAGGGGGAGCTGTTGACACTCAATTTTGAACCTCCGTATTTAAAAATTAAAATCTGTAGGCTTTCTTGTCAAAAATGATAAAATATATTATTTTGAACATTTTCAACTATAATACAATTTATTGATAATTATTCCTACTTTTATAAAATACAAAAAAATTTATCATTTTATTACAATTGGTTAAATACTATCATTTTTGTGCATTTTTAGAATTTTCAAATAATTTATTTATAATTGTCCTATTTTCAAACATTAGGATATTCTATCAATTTATTGTCTTTCAAAAACAAAATAATACTTACTACAATACAATTGTAGTAATTATAATTTTAAATAAATATTACAAGATTTTTCAATTAAATAATTATTTTCTAATTCGTAGCATAGTCTACTAATTACACGGAAGTCAGTAGAATTAATTTTAAATGATGATCAAGCCCGGTCAAATTCAATGTACCGTCAATATTCGATGTGACTAGACATTGATGCGACATGACATTGATGTGATATGACAATGACATGACAAGACTTGATGTGACATTACATATTTTACTTTTTGACCTCATATTAACCACATATTTTTAGTTTGCATTTTTCTTTTATTTTTGGTCAAATGAAGACCACACAATTTTTACTTACTCTCACTGCATAAAATATCTACTACTACACCCCTCCCCTCTTATCATCAGATTTTTAACCAATCAAGACCCTAATGCGTTTTGATATTTCTTCTCTCATTTTTGGGAGACCTCTGTCCTCCCCCCTCTTTGTGGCTCAAAAAGAAGAGAGCAGGCTCCCACCCATTATGAAGAGTTCTCATCTTCTCTCAAAGAGCCAGCCGTCTCCCCACTTTTCTCTCCGCCAGCTGCTGGATCTAACCATCTGCAGGTTTGGTCAGGCGTCCACACCCCACTTCCCTCTCTCTCTTTCACTCCCATAGTTGGTTCCCTCTCCTGAATCTGCTCGCTGCTGCCATGGTTCATACGAGCGGTGACTAACCATTTTCGTTGGTCCTCTCTTCTCATTATTGTCTTCTTCCTCGACTAGGTCCTGACAAGATCTGGTGGGTTTTGACCGGAAAAATGAGACGCCAGAGACGTGCTTTAATTTTAGGCGTTGTTCCGGCGTTCGCCGTCGAAGTAACATCATTGACCCACCGCTGCTGATCGTTATTGTTGGATTCTTGCTTTGTGGGAGATGGACTGATTATTCCAGTTTATCTGCGATTAATTTTATGTTTTAAGTTTCCGGCGTCCTCTTGACATTGACTGGACGGAGAGTGTTATTTCCGATGACCCTCCATTATTTCCGGCGACCTTGTTTGTTTGTATCATTTTTACTGCTTTATATATTCATTAGGATAAATGTTTACTGATGTTTGGTTTATCCTTTTAGTGACCATTGTTCCGGCATTTATCTTTTACTATTAAGTGGTTTGGTTGTTTAAAGCTATTATATTTGCCTAATGCACGTTGCGATTACTGTTGAACGTTCCTTGATGCTGGTTGCGGCTATTGGGGCGGTGTTTCGTTGATTATTAGTCATATTAAACGTTGGATCCGGTTGTTTGAAAAAAATTGTTATTCTTCCATGTTGTGGGAACGTGCAAATATCTGTTGTTGGACACTAGGCCGATGAGAATAAAAATTTCGAGGCGTTGTGATGATTTTTGACTGATAGAGGACAAGATACTACGCCATCCCTCAGATCCGGAAAAAGACGGGAACACGAACCTTGTGATGATCCCTTGTGATGATTTCCTGATGATGATAAACATCGGGAAAGAAAAAAGACGAGAACACGAACCAACAACCTATGGAAGGCGACACGGTTGGCTACCGGAGTTGTTACCGAGGCGGTTCCCGTTCTCATGTCTAGACAGATATCGGAAAAATATATATCTAAGACTCCTATATTATTTTAAACTATTTTTCAAAATTATTTTTCAAAAATAATTTCCCAAACGTTTTCAAACTATTTCCAAAAACAAATTTCCAAAAACGTTTTCAAAAACATTTTCAAATGAAATCATTTTCAAAATAAATTAGTTTATTGTTTACTTTATAATTTACTAATAATTTTACTCCTTATGTCTTGTGAGGTACTATCACACGGAGTTACTTTCGGAAGACGACACTCGAAGATAGAAAGACAAATCCTTGTCAAGTTCCCCGCTTCGCACTTCCTATTCTAGGATGTATCCAAGATCGCAAGTATAATAAAAACATAGATATATGTGTTGCTTGCTTGTTTTGATATGATTCTTTTGCCAAACACTTAGGGTGAATTGCACATAGCTAATAATCTGCCAACCCATAACATTGTGTGTTAAATAATTATTATAAGGTTGTCTACTCAAATTTAGAATGTCAAATATATATTTTACAACTTAGACGATTAATTGGGATAAGTGTTACATACTTAATTGAATTGGTTGCATACATAAATGAAAGGCATGTTGTTTTCTTTTCCAAAGAATATGAATTTTACCTTTTTTACAACTACATTAGCATCTTTCTTTTAAACCAATATTTTTGTAAAGTATTTCAACTATTTTACTTTAAGTAAACATAACTTGTAAAAATCATAATTGAGTCTACCATATTGTAATGATCCGGTTAGTCGTTTTGAGTATTTTAGCCCTGATCCCCTAATATATGCTCCCTCTATGTTATATTGTGATTACGTGACTTTCCAGGGTGCTTGGTGTCGGGTTGGGAGAGTTCCGGAGTGAAATAGGACACATAGTTCCTAAGTTGAAAGTTTAAGTCGTAAGAGTTGACTGTAGTTTGACTTGTATGAATATGACTCTGTAATGGAGTTTTGATGATTTCAATAGCTACGTAGGGTGATTTTCATCTTAGAAGTGAGTCCGGATGTTGATTTGGAGGTCTGTAGGTCATTTCGGCGTTAATTGGCAAAATTTGAAAAGTTGGGAGATTTTGGAAAGTTTGACCCAGAGTGAAATTTTTGAATCGTGGTCGGATTCCGATTCCAGAAGTTGGAATAGGTTCGTAATGTCAATTATGACTTGTGTGCAAAATTTGGTGCCAATCGGAGTTATTTTGTTATGAATCGGAGTCTACAATATTTGTTCAAACAGAAGGATCTTAACTTGCGGAAGCGGAGGTGATTAGAGTTGCTTAAGGACTATGATATCACCATTATATATCATCCTGGGAAGGCCAATGTGGTGGACGATGCCTTGAGTCACAAGGCGGAGTGTTTGGGCAGTTTAACATATCTACCAGCAGCAGAGAGGCCATTAGCATTATATGTTCAGTTCTTGGCCAACCAGTTTGTTAGATTGGATGTTTCTGAGCTGAGCCAATTTTTGGCTTGTGTGGTTTCTTGGTCTTCTCTTTATGATCGTATCATAGAGCATCAGTATAATGACCCTCGTCTGCTTATCCTCAAGGACACAGTTCAGCACGGCGATGCCAAGGAGGTCACTATTGGAGATGACGGTATATTACGGATGCAGGGCAGACTATGTGTGCCTAATGTAGATGGTTTGCGTGAGTTGATTCTC